TTTTCATTAGCCCTTTTTAATTCTTGTCATGCTACTCACCCTCTTTTTGAACAACTCTGGCTATCGGTGAAGCGCAGATTATTTGCGACTGAGGCCAATCGTGCCTTTCATTCATTAGACCAACCGAGTATTTCTTCTCCTCCTCCTGTTTTGGTCACTCCTTTGTCTATTCGGAGCCCCTCTCCTTCTCGTCGTACTAAACAATCTGCTCGTCCATCTTTTTCTCTCTCCGCCAGCCTACTATGGCTAAGAGTGCTTCAAGCCGCAAACGGCCAGCCTCAGCATCTCCCATTCTGGAGGATGATGTTGTTGATGTTGCCCCTCTTATCGTCAGGAGGAAGGTAATTAAATCGGTCTATTTACAAGTATGCTTTTCCACATTTGATACTTTTCTGTGTACTGATGATCTTTTGGACTTTTCAGAAAAGTTCAGCCTCCCCTTCAAAGGCTTTGGCATCGACAACTCCTGCTCCATCATCCTCTGCTGAGGCTACTTCATCCAAACCGGTTGGTGATGGGACCATGCTTAAAGATACATCTTCAGTCCCAGAGTCTTCATCACAACCCATGGATGAGCCACCTTCTTCCCAGGGTGTCGACCCCCCAATCATCGAAGCAGAAGGTAATTCAGTTTTTGATGTCTTACCTTTGCTCGTGCTATTGGTTTCTGATTTGTTGCTCTTGAACTTTGCAGATACTCCTATGAGTCCGCCCGTTGTGGCAACATCGTCTCGCTCGGACAAGGGGAAGTCCTCACGAATGGATGAGTCGGTGGCAAGCTTGGCTGAGGGCGTGCCATCTTCTACGATTGTCGACGAGGTAGTTTTTCTTTTTGCTTCATTTCTATTTCCACCTTGTTCGTCGTAGTGAAGATTTTTAATATTGGCAACCTTCTTTGCAGGATGCTGACAGGATTGTGCGTTCGATCCAGGATTTGTTCGCTTCCTGGGGACAGGTCCAAATGCCTCGCCCTGCTCCATCTGATTGTCCTGCTGCTTCTTCAGAAGATGATTTGAAGTTCTTGAAGGAGTTGGTATTTGAGTACGTATCCTTCGTGGATATGGACATTGGACGGGCTAGTGCTACAGACACAAGGATGAACTTGAGCACTTGAGTGCGAAGTTAGAGCAAGCACTGACGCTTCCGTCACTCAGTCTTTCTGCCGACTTTAAAGCGACGTTGAAGGTCATTCACTCCGAGGTCCTTTCTATGTTGGCCAAGAATGCTGAACTAAAGGCCAAGCGTACTCAATATCTTCGAGTTGTAGCTGAGAAAGAGTCTTTACGCATGGAGATCAACAAGGCTAAGGACGAGTTGAAAGAAATCTCTTCCGAAGTCCTGATTGAAGACTCTTTGATGGTTAACTTGGTTGCTCAGATGAGGGAACTTCAAGCCAAAATGGACGATTGCAGGGCGAGGATGGCTGCTAAAAAGCGCAACGCCTCTCAGGGAATTGATCCTTGGTCGAACAGTACAAGAAGTTGGAGGTTGATGATGATGACGTTGCGGTTGAATTGAACATCACTTCCTCTCGGCAGAACGAGGATTGGGAAAAACTTAGGGAACGAATTCGTTCTTTATGGGGTAGACTGTAATTAAGACATACGATGTCTTTTTCTCTTTTGTAATTTTGTTCATTATTAACGAACATTAACTTCTTGTGCATTTATTTGACGTTTATTTTCTAATCATCAATTCTTTAATCACTTAACTGCTTTGCACTAAGAATCTTGTCCATTCCCTTTTGATATTCCCACTACTGTTCCCAAGACTTAGGGCCATTTAATTCCGTCTATTAGACAGAAATGTGGCTGTTCATATTCTGTCTCTTCATCTTCACCCCCTATAAATGTTTCGCATTTTTTATTCTCTATCTTCATCTCTTCATTTTCTTCTTCGAAACCAATTTGTTGCCATTTCTTGGCATTCTGACGATCAACCTGATCTAAAAATGGACTGTCTAGTCCGTCCGCCTTATATTTACCTTGATGTCACCTTTGGTATGGGAGGTATAGGAAATATTTTCTGGCCAGCAGCGAAGTTTTTTCCTGCAAAATTCTTCCCATCGTCTCTTTGTTCTTCACAAGGAGTCAATGATGGGAGGCAATTTTTGGGCTGCATGTGGGCCACTTTGCTTGCTGAGAGTGCTTCTCAGCTTGCCTGCTGAGAGTGTTTCTCAGCCTCGTCATTGCAGCGATGCATTTAGGAAGGTGGTGAGGCCAGTACACCCTCTCACTCGTCAACCCCACCTTTGCAGCGATGCATTTAGGAAGACGGTGTGAAGCTTACTCAGCGATCAACTGGGAGATCATCTTACTTTAGTTGCACTTTGTAACGCATCCATTATTTGTATCTTTTGTATTCATGTAATGAACTTTTGATAATAAAGAACTTTATTCGAACGTATTTCGCTCTGTCTTTATTATCTTTTGATCGCCCAGAATGTTTGGTTATGTTTTTATCTGTTCACATTCCCATAAAGAAGGAACATATTTTTTCAAATATTTTTCGTTGATGAATCTTACGTGCTTGGTGACGTCTAGATCTTCCAAGTGGTACGCTCCATTAGGCAACACACTGTTTATTTTGTATGGTCCTTCCCAATTGGGCGACCACTTCCCGTACTTTGGATCCTTGGTATCCAAAGGAAGAATTGTCTTCCAAACTAGTTCATCCAGGCTGAACGACTTGGCTATGACTTTTTTATTATAAAATTTAGCCATTCTTTGCTTTTGAACTTGCAACCTATCTAAGACGTCCAATTTCAATTCGTCTAAACTTAATAAATTTTAAACTAGTGATTCGGCATACTCATAATCATTCAACTTATGTTGCAAGCACACTCGAATTGATTGCACGTTGATTGTCATTCAACTTATGTTGCAAGGACACTCGAATCGATTGCACGTTGATTTCCATAGGCAAAACAGCCTCCTGTCCATAAACAAGTTGAAAAGGAGTAACTTTGGTACTTGACCGAGGTGATGTTCTATAAGCCCATAAGGCCTTGTTCAAACATTCGTGTCAATTTCTGACGTTTTCATCTATCATCTTTCTGATGATATTTTTCAGAATCTTATTAGAAGATTCCGCTTGTCCGTTGGATTGAGCGTAGTACGGTGTGGAGTTCACTAATTTAACCCCAAACTGGCTCAAAAATTTGTTCACTTGATCCCCATTCAAAGATGTTCCGTGATCTACCATTAAAGTTTGTGGAATTCCAAACCTATAAATAATGTGATCACGAATAAACTCTATAACATTCTTCAGGGTGATCTCTTTCAAAGGTACCGCCTCTACCCATTTGGTGAAATAGTCGGTTGCAACTATAACAAAAGTATGTTGCTTGGACGATGGAGGGTA